ACTTCCATAGGGATATTCTGTAGGTCGTGTTGATTCTGATGGATATCGATAATCATTTGGTCTTTGATTTGTATAATAATTATTCGATGGTTTAACCAATTGTGAAATAGCTGGATACCTTTGTCGAACTTCATTTTGATTATCTATATCTCTCACTCAAATAAAAGAAAGAAATATATCAATTATTGAAATTATATTTATACAATTACTTCTTGATGAATAAGCCATTGTGAATAATGTTCGATGAAAACACTATTTGTAGACGTGCGGTTAGAAAATGATGAAATGAAAGACTGAGATGCTGAAGAAATGTTGATATATGAAATGAAAATGATCTTCATCATAAAGAACGATAGAGAAATACATACATATCAAAACGACAATAAAAATGCTAACGCCCTTTAGGCTTTTTTTTTTTTTTTTAAAGAAAAAAAAACTCGAGTAAGATAAGGTAAAATTTGTCATCATACTCGGCAAATATATGCATACTTAACTAACAAGCTATGAATTACTTCTATGTTTTTAGTATATCTTCAATCATTAAGAAAATAAATTTTTTTATAAATGATATCATATAATGATAATAATAAATAGATAATAGATGATAGAAATAATATGATTATTAAATCAAATATAATTAATGTATTATTAAATTTTAACATTAAATATTATTAATATATAGAAACGCAATTCAGTATGTCAACATAGGTATCAAATAACGACTATATTTTTTTATTACACATCTCATATCTTTATAGGTTGTTGTTGTTATTGAGACAAAATGCATCTCAAATTTTGTTTTTTTTTTGAATTCGATTCTAATCAAATAACTATATTGAGAAGTAATAATAAGATTTTATTTTTAAAGTAAAAGAGAAAAAAAAAAGAAGTTTGTCAAGAATAACTAACAAATGTTGATGATTAACATCAAGAAATAATTTAAAATTTTTCTTTTTTTTTTTTCTTTCACTCTTTTTTGACCAATTTTTAAAACGAAAATAAATCTTTTAAATATCAGGAATGTGATTATTGTTGATATTTAAATGTTTGAAAAATGCAAACTATTTATGAATTCAACAAATTGATATCAAATCATCGTAAACTATTTATAAAATACTATATAATTCTATTAAGATTTTCATCGTTGTTTTTTTTTTTTTCTTTCTACTATTATTATCATTTTCATGAGATATAACAGAAAATTATGATGTTATACTTTTTTATACAATGTTATATATTATTAAACAAATCTTGTATATGTATGTATTGGTGTTGTTGTTGTTTTTGAAAAATAGATAAAAGTCTATTAACTTAAGTAATGTCAAAAGAATTGTTCACAATAAATTCCCGTGCGTATTAAACATAACTGAAAAAAAAATCGTATAAACTATTGCTTAATTCATTTGACATATATCGAATAATATTTATTTAAAAATAAGAAAATATTGAGATTGTTTTTATTCAGAAGAAAAATAATATTATTATTTTTAAAAATATTTGAAAGGTATTATTAATATATACCTAGAGGAAATAATATAAATATTATTGATTAGAATATTTAATAAGTCTTTAGGAAATAAATAATATTAAATATTTCTAGTTTTTGATGAAATATGAAAGTTTATTTACATTGATAAAATTATAAAAATTGAAAATTAAATTCTTCTTAGTTAGATTATTCAATATTGTATTCGAATTATTTTACTTTTATAGATTTCTATATGATTCTTGTATATGATCATATAGAAAAGAAAAAAAAAACAATTCAAGAGTGTAATCTAATTGTTAATAACTACTATATGTTTATTCATATATCATAATCTAATCATGAAATAAAGTCTAATTCATTTCATTTAGATTATTTTTGTTTTTCTTTCTTAGATATATTATTATTTTATAGAAACAGCGTAAACAGCTTTTACACTATGTTTGCAAAAGATATCGTTTCAAATAAGTGGTTTTTGTTGTCGATTATATATGTCAAAATGTGGTAGATAAAATGTTAATAGATATTTATAGACATAGTTTTGATAAAGTTATACAAATATTCTATCAACATTCTTTTGAATGAATGTTTATTATCTTTGGTTAGTCTAAAGTTCTATCCTTTCAATCTAGAAAAATAATATATAGAAAATGTACTTTATTAATTTACAATATTTCTATAATTTCATATCATTTTGATATATACAATTCGACAATTATTATTCTTCAATTGAACATGATTTTTATTCAATCATTAAATAATGATTGTATCTATTATATATATGATGATGTTATTATTCACTAGAGTAAATTAATAATTGTAGAATTCATTTATTTTCCTATTGATTGGACATATATGAAATCTCAATTGATTAAAATATTTATTCAGAAATAGTTTGTAGCCTCAAGGCTTTATTTTTTTGTCGATAATGATATTCTCAAGACTATATATTTATTATTCTTATAAATTCTATTAAAAATTAGATTTATTTCTATACTATTTTGAATATATGCTTTTGTTTTAATTACAATGAAATCTTTTTTTTTTTTCCTAAAATAAATTCTAAAAGAAAATGAATTTATATCAATAGTAATCTTAATCTAAAATCCTAGCTAAAGAAATTAACAATCAACAATCATAATATTCTTTTTGCTTTTTCATTGAAATAATTTCTTTCATATACAAAAAAAAAAAAAAAAAGAACATCAAAATGAATAATTATTATTGATGTATACAACTTTGTCGTTTATTTGTTGTCGTACGTTGTCCTCTATGTGTAGGTAAACTTGGATCAGATGAACGACGTACAGTATCTGGACTATATGTTAAATTAATATTAGCCAAATTAAGTAACATACGAAATGCATTAAGTACAGATTCATGTTCATGACATGTTACATTCATATGTGTTATTTTCCATTGATCTTCTACAATACTTTTAGCATATTCTTCTGTTATTTCATGTTTTTCAATATTTAAATCACATTTATTTGCAACAATTATAATTGGTATTGAATTTTTTGTAGTATTTTTTATTTCAAGTACAAGTTGATACATTTGTTTTGCAATATCAAATGAATGTGCATCATTAACAGCATAAAGTATAAGAAAAGCATTACCATGTGCTATAGCAATACGTCTCATAGCAGGAAATTCATCTATACCAGCTGTATCTAATATTTCAAGTATGATTTGACGATCAGCAAGTGATATTTCAATACTATGTAATTCATCAAGTGTTTCTTTATGATCATTTAAAAATTTTTCTTGTAAAAATTGTTGACATAAACATGTTTTACCTAGAAAAATAAAGGAAATATTTGTTTCTTTTTTTTTTGTAAGAATTCATTTTTTTTTTTACGAACCAACTTTTGTTGCTCCAAGTACAACAATACGAAATTTTTCTTTATGAGTTTCAACATCAAGTGTAACTGCTCGTTTTGCTTGTACATGATGACGTTGACGATTTGTTGATATATGATTTGAATCATTATTATCATCAACTTTAACTGATGAAATTGTATTCGAAAAAGTTGATGTCATTGACAAAAAAAAAAAAAAGGAACACAAATATATGAGAATATTTTTATTTAGTTACATATGAAATGAAATCATAGTCGAGCGAACGTGCCAAGTATATATAAATAATGTCTGTGTTGTCAATCGAGACTGATTGACAAAAAGCTTATGACAACTTGGATATTACACATATATATATAGATAGATAGATAGACACGGTTAGGAAGCCAACAAAACAAAAGAAAAAAAATAGCAGTTGTAAAAAAAAAAAAAAAGAAGACGAAGAAAAAAATGTTCTTCCTTTTCTTTTTCTTCGTTCGTTATACTCGCTACTCATCATAGTTCCTTTTTATGATTTGCTTCCGGTTGTTATAATTTAGTATATTTTATTTTAGTAGTACTTTCTTCTTTTTCTTTTATTTCTTTGACTTGAACTTTGATATCAGATAATTTTATTGCAATGTTTCTATTTATTAAAATGTTCACTAATTATTTTATTAATAAATGTCAAAAATAATTAGACTTTATAATAAAATTTTTCTATTTCTTAGTAATTATTTCATATATCGAATGAATATGAATAACAATCTGTTCGGACTAATTATAGGCGTTAAGTATTTTGTTAACCTATTCTAGATGAAAAAGATTTCTTTTTTTTTTTTTTTTTGTCTTTCTTCAAAGTAATCTTGACTTCCGTCACTAGAGACAAAAAAATCAAAAGATCTAATTGTGCGAGTAATACCGGATTGAGTTCGAGCATTCATCGACAGCCAATATGTCATGAAACAGTAATTTACTAGACTACTCTGATCGACAAGAAACGAAAGAATGATGTTTTATTGCCTTCATATAGTATTTTTGAACTTGTGAGATTCCATTTATTCTATAAAAGTAGTATTCTTGTCACGTATATAAGTTCATTCTAAATAATTAGTTAATTGAATTGAAAAATAATATGATTATATATATATATATATATATATATATAAGCTTTTGGTTTATTATTCATAGATGAGATTATTAATTCACAAGAGATTTTTATTCAATTTCACAAGATTGTTCAATAAGTTTAGTCATTTTATCAATTATATATTCATGAGATACATCGAATGTTTCTATTTCAATATCATTATTTAATTTAAATATTTGTTCATGTAATTTAATAGCTATATTATGTGGACATGCAAAATAATCTTGTTTATTTAATATATGTTGTTTATAAAAAGTACATGTACAAAAATTACTACTTGATAATGTATAAACAGGTACTTGATTTTTATTTGCATGAAATTGATAAATATGACGTGATATTATTTCATTTGTACGATATAAAACAAGACGTTTTGTATGTTTAAGTAGATCAAATCCATGAAGAAGTATTTCATAACCATAGAAAAATGCTAAACCTACAATATATATATATATGAAATATAATAATTGATTCAATAGACAATAAAATTAGTATTTTCTATTTATAATAGAACTTGACAATTAATTCGATTCTATTATTTTATATATGATTTCTTGAATCTTAACTTTATTGATTACAAATTGAAAAATTATTAAAACAAAAAAAAAAATTTCATTTATCACCTTTCATTGTTTTATCATCGATAATTTTTAATTCATCAAATGTCTTTGCAACATCAGCTAATAATGTACGTTCAACACTTAAAAGATAATTCATCTAAAAGAATAAAAAATTTTTTTTTTTTAATTGATTTAAATTCAATAGAAAAATAAGAACAAAAATATTTCTTTGAATTGGATTCATATAGTCATTAACTTACAATTATAGACATTCTATATTTGTTCTACAACTATTAGAACGTTTTAACTTTTGCTTGATGTTTTTCCGGTAATATAAAATAGGATGCTTTTAGAAGCAGTACATTCTGTCGAGACTTTAAAAACTATTTTTAGAAAATATATAGAATAAATTAAAGTACTTTATTGAAGTTTTTGAATTAACAAAACAGACTTTGTTTATTTTCTTTATTGATCTAAATCAGAGATCGAATTTAAATCGATATATAATTCTTTTTATTAGACTTAAAAATAATCTTTTCATTAACTCTCAAACACAAGTAATAAAATTCATTTGAGAATAAGCTTTATGTTCTCCCTGTCTTACGCTTTTGCCAATTGTATCAATCTCTTAGCGTGAGAAATCTATTAATTCAACTATTGCGTGTATTTCAATTCAAAAAATGTTAGTTTCTATTGATTTATTGTAAGATTGATCATTTTAGAGAAAACAGATACATGTACATCTGTTTTCATGACTAGTACTTCTGTTTCTACATACCTAGCGAGATTTTTTATGAATATGACGGATGTTAACTGCATCGATTGCATGATCAGCAGTAAGATTATAAATAAATATAGACTTGATCATTTATTACTAGTCAAAATATCTTGATTTGCTATTTGAGATGAAAACTGACTCCGGAAAACTAAATATTGAGGTTTCATAATTCAAATCCTGCACTATTGATCCAATTAAGATTATGGACTACTAACTGTAGTTCAGAGCAGGAAATTATGAGAGCCTGACTCATTATAGAAGTTAATTTACTTTATTTCCTAATACGTGCGTCTCCCTTCAACAAGAATGTAAAGTCAATAACAAGTACTTTCATCGATGAATAAGAAAAAACACTTTCTATTACAATACGCAAGTTCTAATTTACACTATTTCTGGTTTGAAGCTTTCGAATCTTTCTAAATCGGCAGATTTAGAATATAGACACATACTAAGTCCAATCGAGATTTTCCTAGTCGTTTCGGTTTTTGATTTCGAATTGCAACGAGCGATTTCATTTGGTACGAACAGAGATTTAAATTGATTCTCTATCTATTAAAACTCTCTAACAGATAGCCTCCGTTTTTTCTTGTTGAGTTATGATCATTATACTGAATTTTCAGTCTGTGGTGGGATATTATGAAGAAAACTGAATTAAGAAATTTTACTCGAAAATAGATCTCACAATTCTTACAATATCCTCTAAGTCTTAGAAAAAACGATGATCTTTTCTCAAGATATTAAATACTAAAAGAAAATCGGACTTACGAAGAAACTTTTCCAACTGATTAATAGTTTTTGAATTGAGATTATATGAATCACGTAGACCTAAATGAACTATGAAAAAAGTTCGAGGTCTTAGTCTGTTGTGGCCGAGAGACTACACTTTTACGATATTTTTCAAATAAATGCCGTGATCCTTATAGAAAAACTAATTTTCATAGAGATAAACTTTAGGAAAAATAGATTTTTGTAAGTTTCACATGTTATTGTTGTTGCTACTAAAGACCTGGAACTGTTACAACCAATAGCTCTCGTTAAGGGCTTTCTCTATACGAAATTTTCAGTCGAAATTCGAAAAACAGTTTTCCTGATGTTGTCGAATAGAACTGCGGTATTCGTTTAAAAAAAACATTGTAAAAATCCAGTGTTCAGTAGCAATAAACTAATTCCTGCCGAAACTTCCAGGATATCACAAGAGCTATGAGATCTATTGCATAAAAAAACGCTCATGGTACAAATCCTTTTCAAACTTTCATCTGCACCACGGATCCTAACCATCAACAAAATATGAACTTCATCAAAAGTTATCAATCTGATTGTCTTCGGAAACAATCAACATCCATCACATTATAATTATTTTATGATATATCATTCATTTATATATGGTCCATATCAGATAGAACAGACCATACCCACCTTTCATTTGATTTTAATTCTTTACAAGGATTGTTTTTCTAAGTTCTTTCAGTATAGACATATGTAAAAATATTATCCTGTTTCAACCGTCTATTAATTTATTACAAAGTAATTCGTGAATATCTCTCTAATCATACGTTCTACAGATCCTATTAGACTCGATTTTGTCGATATGTGATTACTTCAACTTCCTAAACGTTTATTTTAAAAGAAAATCACACGCTTAATAGCTACGAGGGGAACAAATATGAGGAACCGGACAAGGAGCAATAGCAATTATTTTTGCAGTTCAATACAATATTAATGATATTTGGCCCATTTGTACTGTTCTACAAAAGAAAAAAAAAACAAAATAATAAAAGTAACAATCACTTAAATATATACAATAACTTACTTCTATCAGGCATAGCAAAGAAGACGAAATTAATAAGTGATGCGACAACAAAAATTTGTGTATACCAAATAAGATTTGGTTTTTTGTTATCCAAATAACTACGATAAAATTTCCAAAAAGCTAAATAAAATAATTCATTTTTCTTTTTCTTCATTTAATAAAATTATCTTTAGTTTACTTCGAATTCCAGCTTGATATACACTCATTGGAGTTTTATCTCGTCGTGCAATCCATGCTGGAACATCAGCTATTTTCACTTCACTCCAATGAAGATCCCCTTGAAATATTTTTTAAAAAAAAGTCTATATAATATATTTTATTTTTATTAAACGTACGTTTTCCATAATAGCGCCATGGACAATAAGGACCATGTACACGTGGATTAAAATCGCGTGGATATTCATTAAATGCTTTAAGATATTTTGCCACATTCAGATATTGTAATGGATCCCACCAAGCTCTAATACGATCGGGATTACCCGGAATAATTGTTTCATTAGTTTTACTATACCACGTGTCACCCATGATAATTATTCGATCTGAAAATAGTCAAAAACTTTATAATGTTTACATGAAATGTTAGAGAATATTTTTTGAAATAATAAGTTTCATTGCCATTACCACTGTTTCAAGACCACTTGCAACCACCAATTAGATATAAGCGGCGCTACGTTCGATGTTTAAGTAAATCCAAAACAAAAAAATCCATACCGGTAATGGGCCCTCTCTATAATATGAATTTTCCTTGTATTAGTTCGTAAAATTAATGATCATACTAATGAATAAAATTTGCTAGACGAAAAGCAAACAATTTATTTATAACAGTCTAATTACTATTTTAAATTTTTTAGATTACAAATTTTTCTCGTCTATTCGTTTTGCTTCATTCATTATGAGCGGAACAGTGAGTGATCCAGGTACAAGAAAACGGTGTCGTAATCCGTCATATATGATTACGAAAGCAAAACTGGGGAGAAATGATGGCCGTTTTCTAACAATAAACACGTCTCGGAAAACAGTATGATGGATTACAGCGAAATAAAGTCAAAATTAATGCCGTAATTTGTCGTTTTATAGCTGTTTTCGGTCAGATAAGGCGTCGTTTTCGACGGTTGGAATGATTGACCTGGAGATATCGGAAAAATATCAATCAATCATTTAATGTATCTTTCCTTTTTTTAAATATTCTTAGAGAAAAGTAGAAGAAAAAGGAAATATAAATCGTCAATTATCAACATATTATGATAATATATCATCACTTAGTTCATATAAAACTAATGATATACAATTAATTAAAACAAATGATGCTGATCTTGTAAGTGATCATTATACGCCAATATATTTAATTTTTTTGTTATTACCTGATTATTAATTACATTTTATCAACTAACAAAGTAATAAAGAACCATTCATAGTTCTATAATAAGAAACAATAAAAGTATTCTAATATAATCAAAATAATAAAAAAAAAACTACAGTAGATGATACTATAAAATAAATAAATAATAAAATGTAATAATAATTTTTATTAATTGGCGAATAATAGTAATCAAAAGGAGTCGTCATGTAGCACTGTTACATCTGAGCCTATGCATTATATTATCATTTCTTTCTCTTAAAGACAAAGATGAAGGAAAATAGAATGAGAAAGTATTTCCACTCATACAATAAATAGAAGCTCTTTCGTCAATGAGAAGAACAACGAAATGAGGAAGAACGAGCAATCACGATGAACAATATAAGAGCCCCATGTCGCCACTTTTTTACAAACTGCGTCGCAGTTATGCTCACAGCCAATTCTACGTTCCAGTGAGTACATCTATCAGAAACTACGGTCACTGCGACACACATAAGAGCAATTGCGTCGCATTAATCGTATGGTACAATCCGCTGTTACTGATACTGATCAATTACAAGCGATACCTCCTTATTTATAATTAGTCACATTTCAGCGCTAAAACTTAGCCAAGTAGACATTGTATAAAAAGCCGTTTCGATCGATCCGGGCTGTTCTCAATGATACAAATGTATGTTAAATATTATTTTGGAATATTTATTAAATCTGTCTATTTGAACTAGATCATTTTCAGTGAAAACAGTTCACGGAATTGATATATTAGAAAAAATCAATAAGAATGGTATGTTTTATTTTATTCTTAATTCATCTACGGTATTTTTTTATAATTTAAGTACTTGTGTTGCTACAGGTGGTGCTGGTGCTACTTATGAGGATCAAGTTGGCGGTGCATCTCTTGACAAAGTAGTGATTTATGTATGTGGTGAAAGATAATAATTTTGTGTTTTTTTGTATCACATTCCTCATTGTATTCATTTGGTATTCGTGGGAAATAAAAAACTATTCATTCATCTGTAGAACGTTCTGTTTAAATAGCAAATATGTACATCTCTTTAGAGAAAAGTTATTAAATTATCTCTAAAATAAGAACGATTTATATGTGTATTAAAATCTTTTTATTTCTTGAAAAATATCTAAGCTATTCAAACTTCAGATAGATGAATAACTATTGAAGTATTAATAATAGCATTTACATTTTATTCATGGCTTTGAAAAACATATAAATATTCAATTTTATTAATATCAAATTAATTAATAAATATATGTTCTCTATCAAAAAAAAATTAGTTTAAGAACAATATAAGTTCATAAAGTGAATTCAGAAGAAGACCATTAATTTATTATCGTTTACTATGTTTAAAAAATAATAGCTGTTTTTACCTTGTTTTTTGTAATCGTTCATTGGATTAGATGCTTTATTTGAATTTCCTAAAACTTATGCCAGTTTCCATTTAGAGGAAGTAATGGAGATATAGAAAGTATTAGAGGTATAAAAGAAAAGTATACAAAATGTAACAAAAAAAACTTGTATCTATCGAGCAGAAAGGAAACATCTATTGAAACGGATCAGATTGGCCATTTACCATTACCGGCTGCAACTGTGGCCAGGGTGCGACTTTTCATGGCAACTTCATCGTGAAAGATGTCATGTGTTAGTCTTTCTGTAGCATTCTCAACTAGAGAGATCTTCTATGCAGGTCTTTCCATGATATCGACACTCTCAAGATCTGAAGATTTATGTGCTAAATCTCAGGTGCTCATTGCCTCCTATGTCTCGACATCGTGACGGAAATTAATTAAAAACTAACTCAGATTTATAGAGATTCTGTAATCTAAAATTCATTATAGTAGAGATTATAAGGGCTTACAAGAAATCACCAGGAATTACAGGAGATTGCCCGGGATTATAAGTGCTTTCGCGGCACCCACAATCAGAAAGATGCGGTGTGAGTGCTTCTGTGGCACCCACACCAGATAATGCCTGATAATCCCTCGTAGATATTTCTCATAAGTTTCGAATTAATATTTAATTCATGTTTTTTTAATTAAATATTAATTCGTATCCATCATCCAGTGTATATCTCCTATATCTGTAAGAGAGAACCATGAACATATGATATTGAGTCCTTTGGGACATTCATTTAAGTTTCCTGGAAACTTAAAAAAAGCATCATATGGTTCGTGGATAATAATGAAAACAAGAGAAGAGCTAATTTGATCTTTATCCTATTCTTCTTTCTATCAACTAAAGTTACTTTGTATTTAGAGACGTCAAACAGCTATGCTTATTCATTTATTTTCAGTCCAAAAAATTATCAAAACTTCATAGTGCAGCATAATGATCACATCTCTAATTTTCACTTTATTTTCCTTTCTTTTGTCTTTTTAATCCTAAAAATCATTTTATTCTCGATGTTTCTTAATATTTAGTGTTATTATTCCAAGAATTTGACAAATTTTCATCATGATATGAGTTGCTAGTATCATACATAGTAGAACATTTTCTCGTCTTGACAATTAATCACATTTGTATAATCCATTATGAATTGATGTATATTTTTTGTCAACCAACTATTGAAACAGTTCATCTTAAAACTTTCAGTTCACCGACTGTAATAATTTTTAAGGTATTTGATAAAAAAGACTATTGTAACTGTTTTAGTACTACAAATCAATCAACCAGTCATATTAAACTTTAAAATGAGTTTGTCATTTTAATTACAGGAGATTGCCAGGGATTATAAGTGCTTTCGCGGCACCCACAATCAGAAAGATAGTTTGTAAAAGTTTGTCAAGAGTAAACCAACTGAAATAATATCTAATAAAGGTAAAAGTAAGGAACTATTTTGGTAAGAATGATAAATAGATTGGCTCGATTGTTTGTAAACATTTCTTTAAACTTAATCTATAATTCAAGACAATATGAAACATGTCTTCAATATAAAACCTTTCTACCTAATTAATATCGTCTTGAATTAATCATCTTTTAACAATATGAATCTTGTCACCTAAATTTTAACATATTTATTCTAAGTATTAACTCATTATTCGATGTTATTTTCATCATTCGAATCTATATCATCTTGACATATTTTATAAACGAACTTGACTAATTTTATTATTTTTTATAAATCTCATCGCTGATTACAGATATGACTAAAACAAAAAACTTTCTATTTAAACAAATATAATTATAGAATACCGATGATTATATATGACAAGATAAGTCTTTTATAAATATCTCCATGAATAAAACAATTAATTATATTTCTCTTTTTATTAAATATTTTCTATAATCTCAACGTTTTTGTTTTTATCATTCGAATACAACAAATAATAAAAACTCGAAAATAAATCATTCAAGAAATTTGATGCGAATAATTTAATTAGACATTTTTTTTTCTTATTTATTTTAACAATAAACATTAATTACAAACAAAACAATGTTTTATTATTTTAAAGAAAGTACCACTGTTACTCTTCAGTTTATCTCAGTCAGACTCTTTATCAATTATGATTCGAGTAATGCATAAAACTAATTTGAGTTGATCAAATCTAATAATAAATAGTTGATTTGAGAGTAATTAGATGATTACTCGTCAAAACAAAATTTCGATGGTAGAGATTTTAATGTTGTTGTTCGCTTTTTGACCTAATTCAATTATTAACACCATACACCTGCATGATACGTTACCAACGACAAAATACATACGAATCATATATTTTTGCTGGATACTTTCATAGGTAGTCACTCGCAAAAAAAACTAAGGTTCTTAGAAGGTTTTTTCGTCTCTAGAGCTTGTTGCATTGATTATGATTACTACTTGAAAATTTTCGAGTATTTTGATCCGAACATCATGATTTATTTAGTAAATTTGAAATATATTCTTTTAACCAAGTGATCAGCGCAACGAGCTCTACAGACGAAACAAATCTTCGGAGAACCTTGTAGCTTTTTTTGCAGTTGACTATCCATGGATTTCATCCATCAAAAATACGATTCTCAAGTTAGTAGACAGGAAGTGCTACAACCAGACATTTAAGTATGAGAAAGCTCAGTCACCTACCTTGTTCGTAACCTCTTTCAGACATCAATCGGTTTTACATACATCGAATTGATAACATAGCACCGAAGCCAAATGATTATGTATATCGTAGATGTACTCCATATAATGGAATAAAGTCAAAATATTTAAATTTCGCAAAGTTACTTATCGACCACCTTGTAGGTAATGCTATGAAATATTGTTGGTGATATTTATTTATTATCATATATCTGTTTGTTTTTATCCAAAATCTATTGTTATACATAAATATGACAGCATAAGTCATAAATTTTTGTTGTTTTAATTTTAAAATTGTATATTTAATTTTATAACTAATAAATAATCTTATATATAATTTAATGATTAGTAACCTGCGATGTATAAGTATGTGTACAAAGTTCGAGTGTCTTCTATGTTTGAACAAAAAAATGCTAGAAGTTTAACTTTTTCACTGACAATCAGAACCGAGTATGATAATTTGAAATACATATTTAGAATAAAATTCAGAATATAGTTTTCATGTTTTTCAAACTATTAAACAGAGTTTGTTACGAAGATAAAATAAGAAAATCTTTGATATTTTACCTATGTGTTTGTTTTAATGTGTTCAAATCGGATATAAATTATGAGTAGTTATATAGCTGTAATTGGAAAAAATCTGAAGTCAAATGGTTATAATCTTTCTGAGTTATTGAAGTCTTTTTAAATATGTTTGCATTGCGGCAAATGCAATTTTGTGAGCGTAATTTTTGTTCCGATGTTCAAATTAAACCAAGAAAAAGCGCAAAAAAATATTTACCTTTTTCTAAAAACGCATTTTTAATAGTTTTAAAAACATTAAAACTACATTCTAAATTTTTTTCTAAATATACATTTTAAAGTATATACTTAGCTCCATCTGTAAGAGGAAAATTTAGGCTTCTAGCATTTGTCATTTGAATACAGCAGATCTCGACATTTTTGTGGGTACTTATGTATTGTAGGTTATTAACATTGATTTATTGCTGTAAATATTGTCCTACCTAGGTCAATGATTTCGACATCAGCATCCGTAAATTTCCGGCAAGTGTCCACTAGAAAACTCAGAAAAATGATAGGAATTTGTAAGCAGAAATCTATAACTATATTTTTCTAGCTTTGAATAGAGCCTTGTATTAAACTTGATCAAACGAATTTGTTTTTGGTATGACAAAATAGAGAGAATATAGTCTACATCACATTCATATGTTGTTCAAAAAAATAATTCTATAATGTTCTTTTGAAATAATAAAAAAACATCAGAAGCTAGAAAAATCTTGAATACTCAAATGAAAAATCAAAAAAAATTCAATTGGCTATTTTCTACTTTGAAGTTATTCAAAAGGAAGTGGTTTTTTAGGTGTAAAAAAAGTACAGAAAGTTTTGGACTATTCATCTAGATGTGGAATTTCATATTCTACAAAATGAGTTTTTTTTCTAGGATTTGCATCGTTTTAATTGCAGATGATAGAGTTAAAATATACTTGCCCAAAAAGGAAATGAAATCAAAATTAGATCATCACCTACTTGTTGCAGCGTGTTTTTACTACTGTAGGACTTTATTTCAGAATGATTTAGTACCTGAGCAATTGAAATTTTGTTTCAAATGCAGTAGCGATCTCTTAGACACTTGTTAATGAATTATTTCAATTATTTTTAGAACTCATACTAATCTCATTCTGTGATGTTTCGACGTTTTTTTTATTCAAATGTCATCGTCAAAGAATTGAAAAAACTTTCAAAAATGAATGAAATAATTCATTGTTTAATCTTTATCTGTAATTTATATTTTCTTATCTTTTTTTTCTCAATTAACTAAAGTGCCTATCGAGAATCAAAAGAAATAATAAATTTTGTTCTACATTGCAA